TCCATATATTCCGTTTTAGATCTACTCAAGCGAAAACCTTTAGAATCTAAGGTTGACCTCCATAATTCAAGTTTACCTTCAACTCCCTCTCTAGTCCTATCAACAAGAAGAATATCATCAGCAAAAAGCATACACCAAGGTACATCCTCTTGCAAATGTCTAGTGAGAACATCCATGACTAAAGCAAAAAGATATGGGCTTAAGGCTGATCCTTGATGTAACCCAACCGAAATAGGGAAATACTTGGTCAATCCACCTTGTGTTTGAACACAAGTAATAGCTCCGGCATACATATCTTTAATGATTTGAATATAAGCATTATTAACTCCTTTCTTTTCAAGAACTCTCCATAGCACTTCTCTTGAAACTTTATCATATGCTTTTTCTAAATCAATAAATATCATATGTAGATCCTCCTTATTTTCTCTATATTTCTCCATCAAACCTCTTAATAAATATATGGCTTCCATAGTCGACCTACCCGGCATGAATCCAAATTGATTTTGAGAAACATTAGTATCACGCCGCAACCTATGCTCCATAACTCGCTCCCATAGTTTTAAAGTATGACACATTAACTTAATACCTCTATAATTCGCACAATCTTGAACATCACCTTTATTCTTAAAAATAGGAATTAACACACTCATTCTCCACTCATCTGGCATCTTCTTAGTCTTCAAAATAGTATTAAAAAGTTTAGTAAGCCAAGAAATCCCTTCATCTCCTAAGCATTTCCACACCTCTATTGGAATATCATCAGGTCCAACAGCTTTTCCACCCTTCATTCTATTTAAAGCCTCTCTAACTTCAGTTTTACTAATACGCCGATAAAAACATAAATCTTTATTTTCATCTAGGGTGCTAAGGTCACTATAGTCAATCTTATTATCAGAATCTTCATTAAAAAGTTTAGCAAAATATCTCATCCACCTTTGTTGAATATCATCTTCTAAGAAAAGTATTTTTTGATCTTCATCTTTAATACACTTCACTTGAACTAAATCCTTACTACTCCTATCTCTTTGTTTGGCTAACTTATACATATATCTTTCTCCCTCCTTAGTATTTAATCTATTATATAAATCGCTAAAAGCTAATGTCTTTGCATCGCATATGGCTTTCTTAGCATCCTTACGAGCAACTTTATATATTTCCCAATTATCGGAATTTTTAAAATTAAACCAATTTTTATAACAAAGCTTCTTATTTTTTATCTTTTCTTGCACATTAGGATTCCACCACCAACTATTTTTACTATTAGGAGCTTTTCCCTTTGATACTCCAAGCACATCTTTTACAATATTCTTAATATCACTA